ATAAATGATAAATATGATAAAAAAAAGAATAAAATAAACACAAAAAATAAGAAATAAAATAAATAACAAAAATACAAAAACAAATATATTCAAATAAAAAAAGAAATAATATAAAAAAGAAAAGAAGAAAAATATAATATATAATCAATTATAAATATTATATGATTAATATATAATATGTAATAAATAATAAATAATAAATTCATATAATATAGATAGAAGATATAAAAATTAAATGAATAATAATAATAAATGATAAAGAAATAATAAGAGAAATAAAATGATATAATAATAAATAAAATGTATAAAAGAAAAGATAAATAAAATCAATATAATATAAATAATAATAATAAATATAAAAAGAAAATTGATATAAAATATAAAAATATAATCAAAATGAAAATAAGATAAAGAAATGTATTAATATATAATAAATTATATATAAATAGAAGTATATAAATATATAAAATAAAATATAAATAATAATAATATAAAAGTAATAAAATATGATAAACATAAAATATATAGATAAAATGATGATATATATAATATAATAATAAAAATAAATATAATAATAAAATATATAAATATATAAAAATAAAATACATAAATAACATAATAATAACATAATAATAAAAATGTATAATTACATTGAATCAAATATCTTTTCTGAATCATTTATAATTCAGAACAATTTACCATAAAATGACATAAAATATAAACAAATATAAATGAATATAGAATGAGTATTTAATTTACTTTTTTATTTTTTATTTTTTTTTAGGAGCAAAATAATAAAAACTATTATTTTATTGATGCAAAATATTTTGCACTTTTCTTTTTGGGGTTTTTTATTTAGATTCATTATTTCTTTGCTTATTTTGGTTCCCTTTTATTTTTCATTCATATCTATCCATTCTTTCTTTTGAATTTAATTTTGTTTATTTTCTATTTATCTATTATTGTTTGTTAATTGAATTTACAATGAATCATATTTATTCAAATATATCAATAAATGAAAGGGATTATTATCAATATTAATGATATTCAATCAATAAATAAATTAACATAAAATAATATTTCAACCATTTTATCAATTATAACTTACTTCAATTCATGTTATTATTTTATTTACTTTCTAATATTAATTACTCTAACTTTACATCTTCTTGATATTGATTTAATTAAAGAATAAATCAAAATAAATTTAATATAATTATAAATAAAAAAAAACAAAAAGATAGAATTGAAAGAATTGAAAATAAAATGAAATATTGAATAATAGTAAATTATTATGATAAATACAGTTTAATCTAAATAAGGTATGATTTAAAATAGTTGTTATCGCTTAATGAACAAACAAACGTATTGAAATTAAATTGAAATTAAATAAAAACGTGACTAATAAATCTCACTCGTTAAATAATTTATAATATTTAAGAAAATTTATTAGTTTAATTTAACTAATAAAACTTAAAATACTAAATAAATAGAAATAAGAAGAGTAAGGTACAACATGCACATAAAGGACTTATCCGTATTAGTGCGATTAAAAATAAAATTGAAGAAAAACTAAACCACCAAGACATTAAATCAGCCAACTAGAAACAAGGACCGAGATACTTCTAATGACAAATGAAACCTCCCAAAAACTAATGAATGAGGTCAACAAAAAAGTAAAGAAACGATTACAATGAAAATAACAAATTTAAAGAAAAATTAAAAAAGATGAATTTTTAATTGATGAAAACACCACAAACAACAAAGTTAATTCTTGTTTGATTCAAATGACTATGGAAAAATAGGTAACGAGAGTATTGACAAAGAGTTAATAACAAAACTAATAAAAGAAGAATACAAAATAAATTTTTTCATGATAATAAAACAACAAAAGAATAGAAAACAACAAAGAGATTAGGAAAAAACCAATTAATTATTATCTCTAAATGAAATAAAACAACTAGAAAAATGAACAAATAGACAAGTATTTAATTTACTATTTGATTTGGAGATTGGTGATTAGAACATTGACACTTCAAAACTTGAAGAAGAAATAATAAATAAAAAAAAAACATAATAATAATTATTATTGAAGATTCAGATGGAAATAAATTTAATGGTATGTTAATGAGAAAATTAGTAAAGTGACTGAGCACATAAATGGTCCAAGTGGATTTTTATTTTTATCAGAGCTAAATGGAATAATCATGAGATGATAAAATTTGATAATAAAGAAATACAATTTACATTTGATATTTAGATTCATTTTTATAAAGGATATAAAAAAAACAAAATCATATTGTAAACAGGAATCTTTTAAATACAACGGAATATCAAACTCATTTTATTGAAAAGAATATCCAAAATAATTTCATACTACAACGAGTTATTGCAATTGAAATGATTTTTTTATTAAATATGTTGTATTTGAAATGAAGAATTTATTTTTTTGGAGTTTAATATAATTTTCTTCTATACACTGATTATATAAGAATATGTAAGACCTTTCAGTTCCTTGAGTAACTTTTTATTGTTCTTTAAATATCTCTTTATTCTTCAAAATCTATGTTTTAGTTTTTTATTAAATTTTGTTCATTTATTCTATAATAGTTCCATTATTAATTCATTCAATAATCTCCTTATCTCATAGTGAGAATCATAAGATTGTTATACATACAACATTGTTATAACTTTCTTCATTCCCTTCTCTTAGTATTTTATATTTATTCATAAATGTAATATTCCTCTTTTTGTTTTACTCGTTATTTTTTCAATTCTTTAATGTGTAATACTGTTCTTTTATTTTATTATTGTTTTATTTAATAATTTGCATATGTAATCAATTGTAAAATAATAGTAATTGAAGGTAATAAATTTTATTGAAAATCCTTCATTTAATTTCACAATTCATATTTGTTATAATTATATCATATTTATCTATCCGTTATATACCTTTTATTAATTCAATAATATACTATAATAATTTAAATTATTTTAATACCATTATTGATGGTCATCATTTATTAAGTTCATGTCCTTTCTTATATCATATATTGTTTCTAATTCTACTTACTTCGTTTATAATTTTATTTCTTCCTTTATTTATACAATTAAATTTATTTCCATTTCCATTTATTTTGTTCGTTTTACTTATTCATGACTATTCTTTCTACTCTTCTTTATTTTCTATTTGACTATGATGTGTTTTCATTCATAACTTATACGTTCATCAATTTCCTTTTTATTTTTTTTCGTTTCTCCTCATTTAAATATCAAAAAAACTCTTCTCTATTAAATTTGTAAGGGAATTTCTTCAATTTTATATATTATCCAAAAATGTATGCAACTAATTCTCTAGTGTCACAGAATTTCTTCAATTAATACCCTTAATTCATTCGTGTCTCATTTACTCATTTTTGCATTTCTTCAATGTTTTATTACATTCCTTTAAATTACTTTTAAACTATTCTTCATTAACCTGAGTGATGTTTTATCAAAGAATAAAAATGAAAAAAATGAAATGACGGAAAGAATATCTTTATGAAAAAAAATAGAAAATTTCTTTTTAGTAAACTAAAAATTCATAAATTAGATTAAATGGAAAGAAAGAAGGAAGGAGTTCCATGTATTTTGAGAAGAAAGAAAGGAACGTTGGTACTTGAAATTGAAAATTATGGAGTTGTGAATATTTCAGATAAAAAATGTTTACAAGGTATTTGTGGGTTAAAAAAAGAAAAGAAAGAAAAACACCATAAACACTCCCATAATACAACAGAAAAAAAAGAACAAAAGAAAGAAGAGAAGGTGGTTATTGAAGAAAAAGAAGAAAACAAAAATATCAATGAAAGAAAAGAAGAAGACAAAAATATTAATGAAAGAAAAGAAGAAGGTCCAAAAGAAAATGATAAGAAGATTGAAAAAAAAGAAGAAGAAACGGTTAATGAACAAGAAGATATTCCTATTGTTATAGAAACAAACAGAAATGAACAAATTGGAAATGGGTTGGAAGTTAATCAAGAAGTCCTTGAAACAAAAGAAGAAAAAAAAGAAGAACCAAAAGAACAAGAAAAAGATTACAAAGAAGGAAAGAAAAAGAAAGGAAAACCAATTCCAAGGGATCCACATAAACCAGTTCGTGCTAAATCAAATACTAAATCAGATAAAAAAATTCAATTTGAAATTGGAGAACCATTACCAGAAGAAAGTTTACCTCAAGATGAAGAAGATGAAGAAGAAAGAGTTAATTATGTTGCACAAAGAGGAATGTTAACTAATGGAACAAACGATATTGAATTAGATAGAGAAATTGCTAAAGGATATCTTTACGTTAATACAGGGAAATTAAAAGAAGCAATTACACACTTTGACCAATTATTAAGAAATCATCCAAATTTACTTGCAGGATATCTTGGAAGAGGAAGTGCTAAAGCAATGTTAGGAGATCTTCAAAAGGCATTAACTGATTTTAATCTTGCTGTAAAGAAAGATAATAAATGTGGAGATGCTTATAAAAGAAGAGGACAAGTCAAATTAGCTCTTGGTCAAACACAAAGTGCATTAGAAGATTTTAATAAAGCAATAGAATTAACACCAGAAGAAGGTGATTGTTATAGACAACGAGGATCTGCATATCATGCATTAGGTATTTTTGATAAAGCAGCAGAGGATATTAAAAAAAGTATAAAATTAATACCAGGAGATGCAACTCTTTTAAATGAATTAGCGTTATGTTATAATGGAATGGGACTTGTTGATGAGTCAATCAATACATATACAAGAGCAATTAATACTAAAGAAGATTATGTTGAACCATATATTCATTTAGGACAATTATATAGAGA